TGTGACGTTAGCAGGCTTTGGCGTAGCAGACATGACGTGAGCAGGCTGTGGCTTGGCAGGCATGACGTGAACAGACCCTGGAGTAGCAGGCATGACGTGAACAGGCTTTGGCTTGGCAGACATGATATGGGCAGGCTTTGGGGAAGTGTCATGTTCCTCCTCCATGACACCCACAGTGAATGGTGAATTAGCCAGCAATAAAGCAAAGTCAATGTATTTTTTAAGAGTCCATTGAGGGGTATTGCATGGCATTAAACTTGATATATTTTTGTCCAAACCATAACGGAAAATGTCCTTTAAGAAAGTATAATTGAAGTCCACTATTACACCTCATATAGAGTGGTATTGTAATGAATCATCCACTGAAGGCGAGCGTAGTGAGAACCCAAGTGCAGTTTTATTTACAGGTGATATCCAAACATCCAAACAATAATGCAAACAAGAAACACAGACTTGACTTGACTTGACTTAGCATGAACAGACTGGACATGAACAGACTCGACGTGGCATGAACAGACTAGACTCACCGATGACACAATGAACAGGGGAACCAATGGCATGAATACATGAGGGCAAGGGAAGCATGACACAAACAGGGACCATGAAACAATTACAAAATAAAAAACATGGAAAACATGAACATGAAACAACCCCCAAAACACCACATTACAGGCATACAGTGGAGATCAAAATTAGAGAACAACCTACAACTTCCTAAATTTGAAAGTCACTGCTTAGTCCTGTTTTAAGTTATCCTAACAGGAGTGAAAGCACAGTTTTTTTAAGCATATTTCATGAGTTAAATGTATTCTGAAGCACAGTATAAAAAACCTAAATGAAATATTTGAATTAGAACACTGATCAAAATGAGAGAACACTTACAGATACCTCCAAATTATTGGTGTTAATCTGGCACCTGGTGCTAATTTCTTTAATTATATGACAAACCCTATTTAACTGGCAGCATTCCTTTCATTTTCACTGAGATTGCAAGATGGTGAGCCGTTCTAAAATGACTGAAACCCTCCGACAGCATGTTGTCCAGATGAAGGCAAAGAGGAGGTTTAAGGGAATTCGGACTGAACGCCCACTCTGCAGTGACCAAGCCTCTTATCAGCAGAAAGAATCAAAAAGATAGGCTCACCTTTGCTGAGGAGCATGTTGTGTGGAGAGAGGAGAACTGGTCCAAGTTAACTTTAGTGATGAGAGTCAGTGAAAGGTGGAGGAGGAAGAGTCATGGTTTGGGGAATGTTTTGGGCAGCAGGAGTTTAGCCTCTTATACAGCTACATGGCAGAGTGAATGCTAATGTTTTCAACATGCGGTTCTTTCCCTACGTTCATCGCCCAATCAGCCAGAAATTTTTATGCAGGACAATGCTCCCTTCACACTGCAAAACAGGTAAAGCAGTTCCTTGAAGCTGAAAAAATTGAAATAGTGAAATAGCCAGCCCAGAGTCCTGATCTAAACCCAACTGAAGTCTCTGGAAAATCTTTGGTGACAAAGTTATGGCTAAGAAACCCACTACAGTCACCAAACTGTGGAAGAGAGTGGAAGAAGAGTGGACCAAGATAACAGCAGAGCAGTGTGAGAAATTAGTGATGATCTGTGGCCGCAGATAATTAATTAATAATAATTATAATAATAATAATTTATGCATTTAGCAGACGCTTTTATCCAAAGCGACTTACCGTGCATTCAGGTTATACATTTTTTTACCAGTATGTGTTCCCTACGCAGATATGCTGAAGTCATTCAAATCAAGAGCCTGTGCACTTCCTACTAATTTCTGACTGCGGTAACCTTCAGAAATTGTAGTTATCTTTCTTTATGCTACAATCACTGCTGTTCTCTAATTTTGATCACTGTGTTAATTTAGATTTTTGTTTTCGAAAAATAAAGGGTTTTTGAGTGAGGTGCCTTGGCTATTTTGTAAAACACTGTTCTACTAGTATGGTATAGCCTCAAATAAAATTCCTTCAAAATTTGAACGGTGAAGATTACATGATTTCTGAAAAAATCAAGTGTTCATAAATTGTTCTCTAATTTTGACTTCCAATATATATCTATATATATATATTAAGGCTGTCAGTTTAACATGTTAACTTAAATAGTTATGGAAAATAACGCAATTAAAATATTTTAACAGTAAATATACTGGCCCCGCTTCAGACCTGTTTGTCATCTTATATTTCATACTGTTGACAAATATGATGCAGGGCAACAACTCCATTAATGCAGTTATGCCATAAAATGCAATATTGTTGTAAAAAATGCCCCTGTATGAGTTTTTGTCTTATATATTTATATCATATCATATGATAAGCGATATCACACAAGCAGGGAGAGCAAGTGCACAAGTGCTATTTTTGTCCCGAATAGCACAACTGCAAATGTGATTTTATACAACAGTTCAGTAAATAAGAAGTTAATACAGTATTGTATTATATTTTAAACACAATATTATCTGGTTTTGCTCAGTTTTGCCAATGAAAATATTACTTCTAAAGCCACAGCAGAACTGTTGTGCATCTCCGAGCAACACAGCAGTGTTTAGTTTCTAAATCAATGTTTTGAACGAATCGGGTGAACCAATGATTCAAAGGCTTATTCATAAAGAGAGTCATTTACGTCATTCCTGAATGAATTATCTGTTTGAACAAATCAAATAAATCAATGACTCATAAAAATATTTACTGCTACCTTCTGCCAGTTTTATTTTCTTATTTAGAGTATCATTTCATTTTAAAGCAAATTAATTTACTGGCACCCTTGTATGAACAAAGAAGCCTGTGAAAATAAATCTGCATCATTAATCCTTTTGATCTTTTATTTAAAAAATTCACACAAACCTAACCTTTCATTGAAGTAAAACAATTGAAAACAAAAATGAATGTTCTGCCATGACCATTCCAGTTCCCTGACCTGAACCCTGTAGAAAATGAGTGTGGGGAGTGAATGAACATGGACGTGGGAAACTGAAAGGTCTGGAGTGAAACTGGATGAAGGAATGGTCTCTGATCTCTGGTCAGGTGTTCTCCAAAATCATCAGGTATTATAGGAGAGATTCAGAGCTGTCATATTGGCAAAGGGAGTTTTCAAAAAGTATTGAATTAAAGGGTGCCAATAATAGGGGTTATGAGCAACAGACTTCCGTATTCTGTTAACCGGGTCTCGTCGCTTCCAGTTCAAGCGTTTTGCATATGCTTAGTTAAATATGAAGCAGTTTTACTCAAGATGCCTTCAAAGTAGATTCCAAAGATTATCATAACCAATGTCCATCACATATGCGGACTGATATCTAAAAGTTTTTTATTTTTATTCGTTTCACTAACATTTGGATATAAAAATTGAATAAAACTCCAATAAAAATAGCTAGCTAGTTTAACTGCTTATCTTAAAAGTCCATAGATATCGCTATTATT